TCCCATTATTAAATATTTAAACTTTATTTCAACTAAAATATGAAAAACAAATGAGAACTAATTGACATGCGAGTTTAGAAATTACTTTCGATTGTTAGCGGTGGAATTATGAACATGACCGATATCTATCTATCTATCTATCTATCTATCTATCTATCTATCTATCTATCTATCTATCTATCTATCTATCTATATATATATATATATATATATATATATATATATATATATATATATATAGGTGATGGCTAACCAACCAGACATCGTGTTGATGGACAAACAGCAGAAGAAGGCAGTAGTGATAGATGTGGCAATCCCAAGCGACAGCAACATCAAGAAGAAAGAACACGAGAAGCTTGAGAAATACCAAGGGCTGAAAGAGGAGCTAGAAAAGATGTGGAAAGTAAGAGCAGCAGTGGTGCCAGTGGTAATGGGAGCACTGGGGGCTGTGACCCCCAAACTGGGAGAGTGGCTACAGCAGATTCCAGGTAAAACATCAGAGGTCTCTGTCCAGAAGAGCGCAGTCCTAGGAACAGCTAAGATACTCCGCAGAACCCTCAAACTCCCAGGCCTCTGGTAGAGGACCCCAGCTTCAGGATGAGTCATACCACCCTACCAGGGGGGAGAAAACTGTTTTTATATATATATATATATATATATATATATATATATATATATATATATATATATATATATATATATATATATATAACTAATATTAACCCAGCACAGTAATATAGGAGAAACTTATTAAAGGTGAACTGACTGTAATTAACATATTAAAAACTGTTTCAGTTTATAAAACTGAAACACAATTTTTGTGACACTGAATTTTAGGCAGCAACAATTTTCTGTTAGGGGTTTATTAGCAGCATTACTAACATGTAAACAATCCATAGAAAATGAAATGAAATGCACTCAGTAATTACAGTGAGAAGACACTGAATAACAAACTCTCTGAGTAATAAAGCTCAGCGGTGCTGCAAATATGTCAGGACAAGGTTTTAATTTCATTACTAGCAGAGGTCATGGCGGCCAACATGTGTTGCAGCAACCTCCTTATAAATTAGCCCAGCAGGTTGCTTATCGCCTGAAGGCATGTTCATCATGGGAGGTGAGGAATGTTCCCTCGTGGATACTAGGGGTCTGTGTCAGTGGATGAAAGCAGGTGTTGAATATCAGCCAGCATGTTGTTTATTCACATATAAAAGCTGCAGAGATGGAAATCTGACTGGGTGGTTTATTTAAAACACCTCATCTCATTCAACTGGGAGACGGATGATAGTGAACGTGCTTTCAGTGAACATCAGCAGATGTGCAGGTTGGTGTCTGATCGCCAACAATGAGCTAATTGCAGAGTAGCTGCTATCCTACCTTACCAACCGACCAATCAACTGACGATAAAGATACCGTGAGTTATAAAATTAGGCCCCTTCCAAATCGCCTCTTATTGTTGCATCTGATTGATCCAAATCTCTTTGAGTAGCTGTTTGACGAACGGACTGGACGGAGCTGAAGGCCTTCCCTCCACGTACCAAACAGTAACCCCCCCCTTCTGATGCGTAATAAGTGCTCTGCTTGGGTGAACTATAGGTAGACAGATAGCTGAGTTGGTGTTTTTATTTGAAATAAGCTTTCTGATTCAGCTGCTGATGGTTTTAAGGTTTAACTGAATGCCAATGCTCACTACAGACCGACGGGTCTTTCAGCCTCATCTCTAGTTTAATGCATTCCTTATTCATTATTCATTTTCACCATAAACTGAATGAAACTTTCCTGTTTTGACTGCATGTAACATCTGTCAGGGTTTATTTACATTTTATCTGCTGCTGTTATGAAGGACACATTTAAACACATTAAGCCTTAAACTTCGAACATCACAGACTTTGAACGGACTCTTAAACCCCTCCTCCCCTTTTATTTCTTCAATTCTGCGTATTTTCAGTAGTGTTTATTGTTCGGGTTAGTTATTAGATATAATACTGTGTGATTGCAGCAAATAAAGGTACCAATGTATTTGAACTCGTGGTCTTTTGTGTTCATTTTTCACAGTGAAGGATTTATCACTCAGGTTGGATTCACTCTTCTTGCAGTAGCATCTGAATGAACAGAGACACATTTATTTGGTTCATGATTAATAACGTTGCTAAGAGCCACAGCCTAAATCATTAAATTAGTGAAAGACAACTGGATTTTTAACAGCTGGATTCAGGAGTCTAACCCTTTTAGGAGAAAGAGGCTAAAACCCTGGTCAGTAAGAAAGTTACAGTTATAATCATTCAACTGATGATACATAACTAGTTTTACCCTTGATTTCAATGACCTATTAATTAACTAACTTCCAGTTCTAGTTATTTAATACAATCATAATCTTCTGGTGAATTGGCACAACATTTCTAACAACCAAACAGGTTCCTGTTTAGTGTGATCTTATGAATATGTTTAAGTTTAATAATGTTTAAGAACTTTACTAGGTATTTAATACCGTTGACAGAATAAATGTTTCTAAAGTGAGCTGAGTTCATGGACCTCCATAAGGGTTTAAAAACATAAACTCAAAAAGAACTTGATCAAACATAAATAAGTGCATTTATATCTGATTTCCTTTGGAAATCGGCTTCCCAATTCGAGTCGTAATTTGATGTGTATGTATTTAAGTTTCAGATAATTTTATATCCAAGCAGCATCTGGATGAGGCTTTCATGGGAACGGCTCAGTGTGGCTGTTAATCACTGCCTTCTCAAAGAAAACCCCACTGCACCGAGGGATAGTTAAATCTTGAAAGGAAGACTTGTGTTTCTTAGTGCCCCTCTGTGACGCTGGGCAATTTAATCCAGATGATAATCCATCCATCATCTTCTACCAGCAGGTCAGCAGGATGTCTGAACACCAACCCTCCACATTCTTCACCTGGCGATGCCCTGCAGCCACCCCAAAGGCTTGCACAATGATGCACACAGTTAGCCAGCTATTTGTTATTATATTTTAGATTTTGTCCACCTGATAAATCATCACATCTTACTTGTTTGGAATGAATGTGCTGATATTTCTCTGTTAGAATGAAAGTGTTCCTTCAGGAATAAAAGTCGATGCACATTTCCATGACCTAAACAGATGAACCAAGGATGCTTCCATCATTTTCTGATGTGTAAATATTGTCCTATGAGGCTAAATGTGATTCACTTTCATGTTTATTTATAAAAGGTCAAAATCAGAGAAGAATATTTAATTCAGTATAAGTCAACTGAAAACTTTCATTACGTTTTTTGTCCTTTTTTTATTGTGAAGTGAAAAACTTCTGCTGAAAATTCTCAAAGCAGATTTAAAGTCCATTCAGATTGCAGCAATCTATCAGTCAAAGTTAATTCTCATACAGAGAACAAAGAAGCAAGTAGTCCAGTTAAGACAACCGCAATCCTCTGCTCTAAAACCACAGCTCCGCCATGTTTACATCATCAGTAGATTCGATATGCATCTAATTACCAGATAAAATAAAGCATGAAAATATACTATATCCCACTCACCAGAGATGCTGATTATTTATAAACTAAACCCACCCTTCAGGAAGTCCATTGAACCATTGAGGCCAGAAAAACTTTTCACAAAAGCGAATCTAAAATGCAGATTGTTACTAGCCTAACTTAACCATTTTGCTTTAACTGACCAATCAGAGGACAGAAAACACTGACTTAGGGTCGGGCCCTCTAGCTGCACCCTGTTTTCGGCCCTCATGTCCCTCCGTTGTCGCACAACTTGCCCCCACTTCCTCACCGCCTCGGCCATATCTAGACCCACAGCTAGTTCCTGATTGGCCCGTTGTGGCGTGGAATAACAGCGCAGACCACGCTTCAATATTGGGCAGAAATCAACAATATCTGCGACACACTCACTGCGACACACTGCTGGGGGACGATAACCAGACCTTTAAAGGCCCTCACAACCCACCACTCATAGAGCTTTGTTTTAAACATTGCCACATGCTGCTTTATGTGCAAACAGCTTTATTTATAGCTCTGGATTATGTGGAGCAGCAAAGTTAGTTAGCATCATCCTTTACAGCCACGTGAAGAAATATAATGCTTTATCTAGGATATAACTTTAGGTCCTTTAGTCTCTATTCAGGAGTGAAGTGTAGAGCTATTTCTCTGACAGCTCTAACTTTGGCAGATTTGGGATCCTCCTTGACAATGTCATTTGATCAGATTGCAATAAAAACAATAATTTAAGCAGTCTGCGCATTTTTTCTGACTGTAAGCTGCACAATTTCCAACCTGCTGCATCTCCAGCTTCAACCTGCCATAGAAAGGTTCATTTTGTCTGGTTCGTGTTGTTAGTAATTTATGCAATATACAATCCTTATTTTTGATGCTGCAAAACCAATAAATAACCATTTTATAATGTTTAAAACAACGTTTCTAATCGCCTACAGACTTCCCCAAAACACATTTCCATTCACCTGCATAGCTGGATCTGTTGGAGAGTTGTGTTGCATTGATTTATTTTATTCCTCTTCCAGCAATGTCATATTATTGTGGGAGACGTAAGGTCAAGGAAGCCCACCTTCCATAAACACAACAAATAATAAAATGTTTATTTTGAAAAGCAGTGGAATGGAAGCTTTTATAGTTGTTTTCATATAAAAGATGATTTAGGTTTTGGTGTCACAGAGAAGGCATGGCAGAAAAAAAAAGGATTATTGGCGTTACTGAAAGAACAAAAGTTCCCCCCCGGGGTCAATATTATTCTAGCTTTCTGAGAGAAACAATTTCAGTTATTCTTCCACACATAAACACAATACCAAACATCCAGCAGATGCCCTGCTTTCAGTATAAAGCACAACATGACTTTGTTTTAAATAAAGATTTTTAATGCTATACATTATTCCAAATGAGATCAAAAGATAAAACCAGTGTAAACATTTCTGGTCTTTAAAGGATCAAATTAGCAAGATGCAGACTGACTTTTGCACTTTCAACCTGCTGTGCTTGTGAGGGACTTACTTTTCATGGCGGATGTCTGGCAGGGAGCGGTTCAGGGAGATACGGTTGCTGACGTAAATGTTAAAGCCGTTTTCCCTGTAGGCCTGGTCGACTCGGTCACTTTCTATCAGAGGAAAGGGCTTCCCCTGTTCACCCTGACCTAGAAAACAAACACAGATATCATCCACTGACTTTCTATGCCCATATTCAAAGTTCTTTTTTTCGTTGTAAGCTTGTTCTTTCCATCAAAAAATGTTTTTTTTATGCCCATTTTTTCCCCTGCATTTTAATTTTAGGCAGTTAGAAGCTCTTGCAGTCTCATATTGTAGCAAATTCTTTAATTTCTTCTTAAAACTCTGACTTCATTTTAATCAGTTTATGAAGTACCTCATTAGTCAGAGAGAAATTCACAGTTAAGCCGACTGACTGTGGCAAATAAACCAATTAGTCAGAATAAGACTTTTAAACCTTATGATATATTTCAAGTGTGATTTAGGTTTTCCTCTGTTCAGCTGCTAAATATCTTATTCTAGTTTTAAGCAAACACTTGAAAATAAGCTGTTATGGTATAAAATCTAAAAATAAGCGCAAAAGCTGCCAGTTCTAAAAAAAAAATAATAACTTTTCACCAAACCTGGAGAACCTGAAAGCCCTACAGTAGAGGAGCTGTGGTCTCTAAGGTTTCTACTGCTTCTGGTTCGATGTTCTTCTGGTATCTTTGCTTAATTAGAAGCACGTATGATCTATTTCAAATGTTTGGTTGCATTTTAAAATGATCCAGTTAAAACAAACTGGTTTTCTACATCATCACAGCAAATGAATGCAGCTTCTATACTTATTATCTCTACTGTACTTGGTGCTTCTCATTTGTCAGAAGTAAGTTGAAGCAGAGCTGCTTCACATATTTTTCAGCCTGATGTTCAATTGTTGAAAAACAAGTCAATCATATTAACTTTTCACTATTTGTCTTTCAAAGTTCTGTGAAGCTGTCCTGCCTAAAAAGTCAGTAGAAACACTATAAATTAGTGCTTGTTGGTTGTTTAGTTGCTTCCTGGTCTCTGGCTCCCCATATGAGTTTTTCTGGTTTTTCGTTCTCAGTATTTTTGTGTTTTCGATGTTTTCCTCAGTTTGCATTAAATTTACAGGAACTCATCTCTGCTTTAGGGTCCATTAAGCAACCCCCCTTGTTGAAACAGGGTGTTGCTGATCAGCCGTAGCTATAAACGCCATTACGCAGTCATCACTGTTTTTTGATAGCCTGGTGGCCTACAGTATAATGCATTTTGCCATTTCAAATAAACAAAAAAATAATAATAATACTTCATTTTATTAATATTGAATATCTATATTGTTCATAACACAATACCCTAATGAGATAGCAGCACAACTCTACATTTTACACCGTTTGTAAAAAGGAGCGCCAGCGCAGGTCATTCTTCATCCCTGCTGCAACCAGACTACAACACCACACTACAACCGCGGAGAATAATTACTATTTAATATCCTGAACAATAACCTGTTTCTTTATATTTCTCACCCAGTGCAATATATATATATATATATATATATATATATATATATATATATATATATATATATAGTAACCTGCTGGATAATGATCCTACTATTAAAAAAAAAAAAAAAAAAAAGCTGTCATATGTGGACACACTGTATTTATTGTATATATCCAATCATGCACCTTTATATAACTCTGCGCTGTTTAAAGATGCCGTATTAAAAAGAAACCTTAGCAACTAATTATAAATATATCATTAATGAATGAACAAAATGTTAAATGTAAACTAAACTGATCAAAGGATACAGTTTCGTTCAGAATAAACAGATTTACAATTTGATATATAGAGTATTAATTACTAAACTATACCAGAAAAAAGATAAGACTCTAAGAAATTCAAGGATGATTCTGCATGTTATATTTTCAGATTGTCAGATTTATTTCCGCTTAGTTTTGGCTTCTTGTTTGATAGTTGTCAAATTACTAAAACCATTTAAAGATGCATTTTAATATTTAGCCATGACTTCATATTGGTTGACTAATATCAGTATAAAAATGTAATATTTTATTGGATTTTCCTTTGAAAACCTTGAACCCATCACTCCCCACAGACACAATCCTTTGGAGTCACCAATATTTCAGTGATAAATAATCTGATCGCATTACAGTGACTTTTACATCAATTTCTGCAGCAGGTTCTGAAGGAGAAACAACATTTGATGCAGTTTCCTGGCATCTTTAATTTTACTCTCTCCTCATCGTCACATTTTAGATTCTGCATATGCCTTTTGCTTAATTAGAATTTAATAATCAGAATGAGAGCAGATATGCAGAAGACAAATGAACAGCACCTAATGAATGAAATATTTTCACTAAATCGGAGATAGATTAAATTTGTATTCTTTAGTTGTCTTCATTAACTTATTTAATTTATGCTGTTTTAATATATGAACCTTCAAGATGTAGGTAGGTATACATGAACCTGAGTTGAACTAAAATAAATTTTAAACCTGTTAACCTGGTCATTTTCCACAATCCTACTTCAGAATGTTTTCACTGTTCAGTTCAAACCCATTCTCTATTTCATAGTTCTAACAAATGACTGTCATGACTGATCTGGTTGCCCTCTCTACAGTCTTTCATATTGTTCTTCTGAGTTTTACACCTTTCCATCTTGTCCCGTATTTAAGCAGTCAGGATTCCCTCCTCTTTGCTAGTTTATCTGGACTTCTCTCAGTATTTCAGGATCAGAGGATATTATTTGGAATTTTATTTTTGGATTTGGGCTTTTCTGACCACAGCCTGAGTTTGGAGCTGCCCTTTGGATTATTCTTATCTGAAGTTTTATATTTCTCTGCCTAAGTTTAGATCATTAATTGTGACAATCTTAGCATTGGTGCTGGCCTAATCCACAACTCGGCACACCTGCTCAACTCCCCCCTGCCTGCTATTAACACTAAGTGCTTCCAGCTGTGTCCACCTCCATGTATACCTGGTTTGGATCAGTCCCCAGTTCCAGATCGTCTCAGACACTGAGTACTTTCCAAGCTTTCAAATCCTTTTGCCCGCCGATCTGTAACCTGACCTGATTCAGTCTTCTTTCACCAATCCTGCCTGATCCCTTATCTGGTTCTGTCTGCCTGCCTGGAAACCCGACCTGATCTGCCTCTGGACCCCTGCATCAGTTCAGCCTAGGATCGCCTGCCCGTGAGCCTGACCCCCACTCTGACTGAGTAACCGAGTCTGCCTAACCCCTTTGCTTCTCTGAACCTGCCAGTTATCGGACCCTGTATCGGACCTGGACCTCCCTTTCGGATTCCCCCTTTGTACCGTCGCTTGGACCCTATCTCTGGATGCTTTACCCAGACTGTCTCTGGAGCTCATCGTTCTAAGTCCTCTGCAAACCATCTGCCGATCAACGGCCCCTGCTCCCACAAGCTCCGTCCTCTAACTGACCTCCGCCCCAGACCCATCACGGAGCTAACCACCGACTCTGAGACCCAGTAACAGGTTAGTCAGCATCACCCCTTGATACCTGTTGTCTCTGCCACAGAGGATTTGCACTTGGCAGTGATTTAATTATAAAAAACATAATTGATTGCTTTGGTTAATTTAATGCAAATTCAATTCAGAAATACTTTATTAATCCCAAATGGAAATTAAAGTTTGCAGTAACTCATATCTTATTTTTTAAACAGGTGTTGTAGGTGCTGATAGCTATAACAGAAGGATCTCCTGTAATGGTCTGTCTTGCACTAGATCTCTTGAAACCTCTGACTGAAGACAATCTGTTGGTGTTTAAAAATCTTCCGAAGAGGTTGCTCACTGTTTTTCTTTATAAAATAATCTCCAGATGTCCTAGAGGAGTTCCTAGAACAGAACTGGCCTTCTAAATTATCATGTTGAGCTTTTTAAGTCATTAGCTCTAATACTGTTATCCAGCATAGAATAAATCTCCACAGCAGATTTATAAAAGATATGTAGCATCTTGCTTCTATCACTGAAGAACTTAAGCTTCCTCTAGATTTCCACTTTGCTCTGTCCCTTCTTAGAGACAGTTGTGTCTCCAGTCCAGGTTGTTGTCCAGGTGAACACCAAGGGATTTCTACTCCTCCTCTTCTTCTCCCAGGATGTTAACAGGATTCAACTTGTTTCTGTTTCTTCTGAAATCTCCAATCATCTCCTTGTTTTGTTGACCTTCAGGATCAGATGATTGTTTCCACACCATGCCACAAAGAGCTTCACCAGCTCTCTGTCCTCAGCTTCTGCTCCATCTTTGATGCTCCCAATGTCTGCAGATTCATCCCAGGATTTCTGCAGATGACAGGACTCTGTCTGGTCCTGGAAGTCAGAGGTGAGCAGCATAAAAAGGAAAGGAGAGAGTACCGCCCTCTGTGGTGCTCCTGTGCTGCTGGATCAGCCAGCTGAGCCTTCAGTCTAACAACCTGTGGTCTGTCAGGTAGTCTTTGATCCAGGTGGTTGTTGATGCCTCCACCTGAGTCTGCTGGAGTTTCTCTCTAAGAATCTGGAGAAAGACCATGATCCTCACAGTGCTGCCTGCCTTGGCTAAATGACAGTGGGTTTGTTGAAGCAGGTGGATGATGACATCATCAACTCCATCTCCATGGAGATAAGCAAACTGCAGGGGGTCCTGATAGCCCGCTGGTTTGTTTGCTGAGGTGAATCAACAGAAGTATCTCTAGGACCTTCATGATGTGGGATGTCAGGGCAACAGGTCTATAGTCACTGAGGACTGCTGGTTGAGTCTTCTTTGGTCCTGGATCAAGGCAGAAGGTCTATAGTCACTGAGGACTGCTGGTTGAGTCTCCTTTGGTCCTGGAACAAGGCAGGAGGTCTTCAACATCCCTGGAGCTGTCTCCAGGGTCAGACTAAGGGGGAAGAGGTGCTGTAGAATCCCACAGAGCTGCTCTGCTCAGACCTTCAGGACTCTGACACCATCAGGACCTGCTGACTGATCACCATCCAGTCTCTCCAGTTGCCTCTTTACTGACTTCTAGAGACAGACAGGTGGAAGGTGGAGGGAGCAGCACCATCACCTGCTGGTCTGGCTGATAATAGAAGCAGGAGAGTGAATGTCAGAGGAAGGCAGGATGTCCATGTGACTGTGGGCAGGAGAGGAAGATGCTGAGCTGAACCTGATGAAGAATGGATTCAGTTCTTTGGCTCTGTCCAGACTTCCATCTGTCTGATCATCCTTCTGCTTCAAGCCTGGGATCTTCTTCATCTCTGATATTGTTCTACTGGAGCTTGTTTTCCAGCCTTTTCCTGTAGGCATCCTTGCTTTCACTTATCTTGATCTTAAGTTGCTTCTGCATACTGCTCACTAATTTCCTGTTTCTCTTCTTAGAGGTTGGTTTTTCTTGTTGAACATTTTCTTTATATCACCTGTGATCCATGGTTTATTATTTGGGAATCCTTTCACTGTTCTGGTAGGGATGCTGTTATCTACACAGGAGTTAGTAGTCAGTCTCACACTCAGTCATTGCACTGATGTCCTCTCCATGTGGCTGACATTAGCATCCAGCCTGAGGCCTCAAAACAACCTGGCAGGGCTTATTCAGCTTTATGTGACCATCTTATTGCTGTTCTTTTTAATGCAGGGTGTTTCTTATAAAGTGGCTTACACTGTTAGCAGAGAAAAATAAGATTGTGAATTGTTTTCCCAAGAGGAGACCTTCCTTCAGAGATGTAGGAGTCCTTTACATTTGCATAAAGCAAGTCCAAAGTTTTGTTTTTGTTTTGCTTTTGCAGCAGCTGACAAAACTGCTGGAACATTGGCAGAGTAGCAGAGAGTGAGACGTCAAAAATCACCAGTTGTTGCCACAATTGTATTTGGCTGTTTTGTCTGTAGCTGAGAAAGAACGGAACTAATTACCTAACATGCAGTGTCAGCAATAGCAGAAGGTGGAAGACTGCTGAACTCTCTGGGCGCATAATATGAAAAAAAAAACAAAAACAAAAAACAAGACAACAGTTCAATATCTGCGCTGCATTTATTATTCTCCACAATAACATGTCCTGGATGACACCGTCTGTTGATGCTAACACTGCCAACTCAAGTCCTTTGAAGTGTCAGTCTTTTTAAAATCTCAGTCTGCTCTTCTGGTCAGAGATCCTGGCAGAGACGCTGGAGTCTGACATGTGATCCTGCAGCCATGTTTCTGTAAAACGCATAATGCTGCATTGCCGGTATTTTAGCTGGGTTCTTGCTCAGCCTTAAAGTTCTAACTAATTTCCTAAAGAAAATTGCCCATGATGATGATGGAAGAGATGGTTTAAATTTCTTCTTCCTCGCTCTTCTCCTTGCTCCTACTCAGCATCCCCGGCACCTCCTTTTACACTCAGCTGGTAATTGCAGAAGTTGAAGTATTATTTCAGCTTTAGAGATGTTAAAGAGCTGCTCCCGGGTGTAAAAAAAAAAAAAAATCAACTTCCTACGGTTGCCTTGGTTACGCATTATAACAAGTATCCAAATAGGACAAAATGTCAGTGAAAATGCCTCCAGTTTCTCAGCATTCATCGACAGAGGCAAAAAACACCCGAAAAAGAAAATCTGATCCAAAAATGGAAGAATTCAAATTCAAAAAACAAATTATTAGACATAAGCTAGGAGACATACACCAATATGCAGCCACCTTAAGCAGCGCATTTCTAGACATGTCTGGATATTTTGAGATTTATAAGTATGTGTCCCTGCTTTTTTATTATCTCTTCAGATATCCACCTAGCTTTGGAGGTGATGACACACTTCAAAAAAAAAAAAAATAATTGCCCTCAAGGACCAGAACTGTCCATCACTGTGTAAAGTTTATAAAAAATTCCAGTGTATTGATTTGTTGGAAGTAACACTGCAAAAACTTTCAGTCCCAGACTTCCACAAACCCAGGTCATTTTCCACTCTAAGTTTCTCCCAAAACTACACAAAAGCCAATTAAATCCTTTACACTTGTTTCCAACTCAACGCCGGGGGAAGAATCAATGCTTATTGTAGATGATTAAGTGTGTTTAATTCTGAACTCAGGGCGCTAGGAGCCATATTGATTTGTGCTGGTTCTGTGGGAGAAAATCTACTTGGAGGGAATTAAGAGACGAAGAAGGAAAAAAAAAATAGAAGAGTGAATTTCTGTGGGGCCAGAACAGATGAAGCAAAGTGGCAACGTACCGATGCGAGCAGCATCTCTCCTTATTGCTTCATAGTCATGCCAGTCAACTCGTCGCACACCGTCAGCTCCCACCTGCACCACCTTCAAGTTAAACCCCTGTGGGAGTAGAGACAATAAAAACATTAGGATTCACCAAAACATTGAACATTAACTTAAAGACTAAAATCTATGTGGTATTTCAGGTCAAGATAAAGATGACCAAATTATTATTTTAGATGTCTGCACATCTACAGACACAGAAATACTTTTATTCCAAATAAGCTTTCTGTTTTGGCTGACGCCCGAACCATGCTCTACTCTCTTTTTCTGTTGCTGACAGCTGGGAATTTACCGAAGACATGGGGAAGAAATCTTCTTTTTAGTTGTCTGACATGCAAGAAAATGACAGTCTCATCTCAGTGGTGAACATACACTCATCACCATGAGCTATTACTCTCCACTGTGCATTAAAATGCACAACCAGCCGTTTATGAAATTCTCTCCCGCCTGCTTTAGAAAATGACTTCCAGAGACTGGAGATGTTATAGGATCACAGCACAATGGTAAATTAATTAGCTCCATGGGAGGACACAATTAGAGGAACGTTGTTAATACATGAAACACGTCTGACTGTGTGGAATAGTGTTAACCGGGCTGCTGGCTGATAGCGCTGCACAGTCAAACAAACCGCAGAGACGAGCCATGGGACGCTGTAAAGTGTCTGCAGCAGCTGTTCTGCCATTTTTCTCTGTTTGCTTCTGTTCTGCTTCACAATGACTTCAGCAGAAAGGCCAATCAGTGGAGGTGGTAGACACTCTGAGGAACAATGACAGTGGCGTTGGATGGAGGAGTTTGCCCTGTAATCGAAGGGTTGACGGTTCAAGCCCCGACTCCGACTTCCATTGTCGTTGTGTCCTTGGGCAAGACACTTCACCTGCATTGTCTACTGATGGCTGATGGTGGTCAGAGGGCCCGGTGGCGCCAGTGTACAGCAGCCTCGCTTCTGTCAGTGAGCCCCAGGGCAGCTGTGGCTACAATGTAGCTTGCCACCATCAGTGTGTGAATGTGTGTGTGAATGGGTGAATGAATGTAGTGTAAAGCGCTTTGGTCAAGTCTCCTAACTTGAATAAAGGCGCTATATAAGTACATGCCATTTACCATTTACTCACTGGTGCTTTTCACGTTTTACCATTTCTATGCTATATAATAACACAATGATGACAGTAAGATGAATTAAAATGGGTATGAATATATTGCTTAAAATAAATAAAATGAAATATAGTTTCTATCTTTTCCAATTAAACAAGCTAAGCTGCTTATTTTATTTCACAGAGACAACTGGAATAAAAATCAATCTGTATAAATATACAGTGCATCTTTTTTTATTGACTTTAAGCTCATTCTTGTAAAAATAACTCCATGTAGATGTTGCATACTTTTTATTGAATGCAGAGAGCCCAGAATGCAAATGATATTTCTCAGTATTTATCTAATTTTTAAACTACTGCTTTGACCTGCGCTGAAGGCTGTGGACTGTCTGTACCATTTAATTTAATGCTTAATTAATACAAAAAACTTCAGTCATAACATTAGCTATGAAAGGGTGCAGCTGAAATTCCTCAATCAATCTAGTTAACAAGTATTTATAATCATTCACTTCCTATTGATCTACCAACCGTTAGATAAAAATACACACAGCTGTGAAAGATTTACAGCTAAACCGCCTCACATGCAATGAAGTGTTGCTTAGAAAATTGCAGCTAAAGTGTCAGTTTGCAGAATCATTTCGATCATTTAGGGTGAAAATCTCAGAAGGTGCTTTTAGAAGGACACAGCAAGCAGCAGATTTAGCTCAGCCTGAGCAGAGCACTAGATAATTCCACCAATTCAGAGATACAACACTGGCAGCTGCTGGGTGTGATTGCATCTGTACCTACAGAGTAAATACCTTTGAGGAGGGTAACAAAAAGGAAAAAAAAAACAATGAAGGGCAGTGAAACTGTGTATTCAGTAGCTGCAAACTACAACATTTAAAATCTGGATCTTTTTTCATGGCAGAAAAAAGTATATAGAATAACACAACTCTAATAAGGCTCCTAAATACATATGAGAAAATAAAATGTCAATACAAATAACATGCTCGACTCTTTAATGCTGATATAATCAATCCCCCTTCTGGTGTTGACTCATTCATAACATTCCTTGGAAAGGTTTTAAAACAAAAATCCAACAATATTAATCTCTCTGGAGAACAAACAGAATAACAATTTCATCCTTATCTTATTTTAATGGACATTCCTGAATCCTTTAAATCATGTCATGGTTCTCCGGAAAAAGTAAAGAATTCTGTGTTTTAAACCGAATTCATGAAGATGTTTCACATCAAGCGACATCTCTACTGCAGATGGATCCTACGTCTGAGCAGTCCTTGTATTACTAAAATATTAATCAGCAGATCAGAACTTTTTTCGATCTCTTCCTATCAAATGACACTTTATTCATTTTTTTTAACAAACCTAAATTAAGTAACACTTTCCATGCTCTAGGATAAAACCCCTGCTAATGATAAGCACCAGCTTGACTGAAATTGTGTTTATTGCGCCACCTATAGGTGTCTGATCTGATAGATCAGATTTTGTCACAAACTGGTTAATTTTTTTTTAGACATTTTAATTTAAATATAAATTCAAAGATAGTTTTGCTTAATTTAAAAACTCTAAATGAAGATCATATTATCAGATTTCCATCTGAAAGTCACTAAGCCATTTACTTTGCAGCAGTTTGTTATTCTGAACAAGCAGCAGCAGCAGCAGGAAAAACTGATCCTTTCTTTTTTGAAAGAAAACTGTAGAAATGATGGGAGCACTGCTCTGCCACAGACTCATCTGGAAAAAAAACATTTAATGCAAAAACACTGAGACAGAAGTATTTTTAAATGGTGAAGTATACTAAAGTTGTATCAGTAGCTCACTGACTGCAGGTAATAATTAGCAATAGTCACATTGCTAATAAGAAAATAGTTTTACAGTCAAATCACTTTTGACTCTTCTGAAGGGTTAAAGTCGTAGGATAACAGCTGTTCCATTTCTGAATTCTCCCGAGTGGTGCCCGACTTTACACGAGTGAATAAAGTGAATGTCATTGGTCGATTATCAAGGGGGCGGGATTGTTGTGGCAGAAGGTTCGAAAGCTATTTGATTGTGGCCGGTTTGTCGGAAGCATCTTGCTAACCAGTTAGCAACTTAGTGCTAGCAGGTTCCCAATGGGAAATTCCATTGGGACCAAGTAGCACTAAATTGGTGACTTAGAAACGACGCTGTCAAGGAACGCTATGGACAGCGGAAACATGCAAGAGGAGGAGAGTTTAGTGTCAGAGGGCGTGGATGAGTCTCCTCCGTCATCCATTTTTTATTTAGAGGAGGAAAGCGGGGACGAAGATGTTGAAACTTATGAAACTTATTTGTTTTTTACACATGCCCCAACATAAACCCACCTCCCTCACAAAATTACATAATCCAGTAGTCAGCAGATCTGGAGGACCTTGCAGAGAACAACCGTCCAGGGGAATTAAGTCCCAGCTCTTATTAACTCAACACTAATATGAAAGAAATGCAGCTGGACACTGAATTAACCTACCTTTCTGTTGGAACATTTAGTTCTTCCTACTACAGACTGTAAGGCATTCACTTTAATTATTTTATTTTTAGTTCCACTGAATCTTGTTCTGGTAAGTTTAGATTTAAGATGGAGCAAAATGTCAGCATCAAAAAAGGTTGATTTAACGAAAACTGTTCTACACTAGTAGTAGTAATCTTAACTTTTTTTTGCTTTAAATTCAGCCCAAATTATAGTAAGTCAGACATTAAGTCAGCAAGTCAGATCTGTAACTTTGAGAAAAAGACTGGTTCTTGGGGTTTGGTTGGAAAAGCAAAAGACAGGCAACCAGTGTGCGGTAAATCGGTAGCTTACACCCTTGATGCTCGATGCATTTAGAGGGCATTAAATACGGCTGGTGTGGGTTTGCTGTGCTCATTGTGTGACTGGAGATAAAACATTTTACAACCAATACATTTCAATCTTAGTGTCTGAGGAATCATTAGTTGTTAAAAACATTTAGCTGACAATTTGAAACTCTTGCCATGTGAACCAGCTTTGGTTAGGTTGTCATGAATCTAATAAATAAAAAGAAGATTTTCTTCGTCACATTTAAAGGAAACTGATTTATGTTTATGTTACGTTTACTGATTTATACTTTGGTCTATTTAAGAAAAAATATCTTTGCACAATTTATAATGTGTTAAAATATGTAATTTGACAATAACAATGTGACTAATTGCATGCACAATGAATCTACATTCTTTTTTCTTGCATGAATAAGAAGGAACTGGCCAACCAGGAAGGCCTTATCTGCTAACAGCCCAACGAGGGGCAGAGCCTTTGCTGAGCAGCTATTCCTTTAGCCCGTCTACATTTAAACAGAACAGCATGACTGTCAAAAAACCAGGAGATGAAGGGAGACCTCTACGATCATACTCCAAATTAAAAACATTGCTGTGCTCTCTTGGATTAGAAACTAGGAATAAAAACTGGTTGTAGTTCTGCTAGACAGGCAACTTTGAACTGCTTTATTATTAGTTCATAGCTACGTGAAACTTTCTGCTTTAATACAGTTTTATATATGAATGTTAAATATGTGAAATGAAGCCTTGTTTCCTCTGGAAGGCTGTGCACACACTTGAGCTGCATGTTTACTGCTGTGCATATAATAATTTCCATCCATCTTCTAACACGCTTAATCCCTAGTGGGGTTGCGAGGGGTGCTGGTGCCTATCTCCAGCTGAGAGGCGGGGGTCCACCCTGGACAGGTCTCCAGTCCATCGCAGGGCAACACAGAGACAAACAGGATGAACAACCACTCACTCACACAGTCACACCTAAGGAGGATTTAGAGAAGCCGAATAATCTGACAGTCATGTTTTTGGACTGTGGGAGGAAGCCGGAGTACCTGGAAAGAACCCGCGCATGCTCAGGGAGAACATGCAAACTCCATGCAGAAAAACCCCGGGCTGGGAATCGAACCCAGGACCTTCTTGCTGCAAGGCAGCAGTGCTATCCAC